GGCGCGCCGCCGCCGCCGTCCTCGCCCTCGCCCGCTGGTCTGGGCGACCGCGGCGAGGGCAGCGTGCCAGCGCCGCTGCTGCCGTTATGCTCTGGGCCGCGGGCGCCCCGCAGATCCCCTCGGTCTGTCTCACCCGCTCCAGGGGTCGGGGGGCGCTCCGCGACCCCCTGACTGCCCCCCCAACCCCGATGATTCGGGGCTCTGAAACTGAGCCCCGAAGCTCCCGACCGCAAGGTCCCCCCCCCTCTGCTGGACGCGCCTTTCGCCTTCCTCGCGCTCCTCCTCCTCCTCCTCCTCCTCCTCCTCCGCCTCGCCCTCCTCTCCCTCCTCGCCCTCCTCCGCCGCCTCCGCTCTCCTCGCCCCCCCCCCCGCCCTCCTCGCCCTGGCTCTTCAAGAAGGCTCGGTCTCGGAAGCACGGCTTGCTCTCAGTGTTCTGTTGCGCTCTCAGCGGTGTCTGCGCTGCCCTCAGCGATCTCAAACAGAACACGCAGCGGCAGCAGCGGCAGCGGACCGCTGTGACAAGGGTCTTCCCTGCAACGAGCCGCAGACTGAAGAGCGGCGGGACCGACGAAGCGCACCGGCTAGCACTGGAACGATCTGACAGAAGCTTGCCATGGCCGGGAACTATGGACGATGACGGTCATCTTGGCGGCGCGCACAGGGGGGTGGAGAGAGGGGAGGAGGCTTCTCAGAAGGAGGCTTCTTCTTAGAAGGCGCGGGCCCTAATATAAAGATAAGGCCTGCGCCTTCTGAGAAGCAGAGGTGCTTCTAAGAAGCCCTCCCCCCTCCCCACACCGCCGTTCTACGCGTGGCTGATCATCAGAATCCTCACCACCACAATCACCACTATCACCACCACGCATGTGTTCCGACTTCCCAGTGCCGCCCCTCTACAGCTGCAGGCGGCAAACGTGCAATTTGAGGGAGACCTTGGCCTAGTCCTCCCTCCTCCTCCTCCTCCTCCTCCTCCTGCTTCATGCCTTTTCCTGCCTTCTCCTCCTCCTCCTCGCCCTGCCTCGTCCCCTTCCTCCCTCGCTCTCTTTCTCCTCCTTTTTGTTCATCGTCCCTCATGTGTCCTTTTTATCATTTTCCCAACTGCGACGTCCATCTGCGGCAGGTTCGTGTCGTGCCGACTTCGGCGACACCGCGAAGATCGCTCCACCTTGAACGATCGGGGCTCTCTCCGAAACGTCAGATCGTTCAACGTGGACCGATTCTGGGTCGCGGGCGGCATTCAACGTTAATACCCGGCGGCGGTGTCGCCGCCAGTCGACACGACGCGAACCTACCGCACGCGAGGCCCGTCGAGGCGGCTGGATCGGGTTCGGTCGGACGCGGGGAGCCCGACATGGTGGTGAACAGCTCGAGGGCCCAATGCTGGGGGGATGGAGCACAGCGCTTCATCGAAGTACCAGTACCCACACCTCGAAGGCTTCAAAAGAGGAGGGGGAGGAAAAACAATAATAATAATACTCGTACGAAGACGTAACGCTACGTATAATAATCAAGATGCCAAGACTTCTAGTAAACAAATATTCTAGGTTAAGAACTGATAGCACAACTAATTAAAACAAAAACACGATTGCGAAGAATACGACTGACTTTAATACAAATAATAATACAAATCATGCTGATACTACTACTACTACTACTACTGCTACTACGACTACTACTACTACTACTAATAATAATAATAAAAATAATAATACTGATAATAATAATAACAATAATAATAATGATGATAATAATAATGATACAGGGCGGGCGAGGCCGCAGGAACCCCTAGCAAAAAACGATTCCTGCAAACCCGCGCGCGAGGTGCCCCTTAGGGGAAACCTGGGGCACCCTGAACGCAGCGGCTTCTTCAACGGCTGCGGGCAGTCACCGCGCAGCGAGCGGAGCGAAGCAACCCAGGACACACTGGAGAAAAACATGTGTTTTCTTGATGCGCGCCTCCACGAGGAGGCGCGCATCAAGACGAGAAGGAGGAGGCGAAGGAAGCGACGAGAAGGAGGAGGAGGAGGAGAAGGAGGAGGAGCAGGAGGGGGAACGACGAGGAGGAAGAAAAGAAAGAGGTGGTGCCCCTGAAGACCTTGCCGCCATCCGGGGCGTGCGGGCGGTGCGAGCGCCAGGACGAGCTTGAAGGACATCATGTCGAGGTTCACCGCATCCGTCGTTTTTGAAAACTTGGTCTTGGGGCGGCGACGACGGGGACGAGGACGAGGAGGAGGAGGAAGACGACGACAAAGAGCACGCACGATTTCCCCGAAGGACGACGATGACCTCGAAAAGGAACTGGAATCGACAAGACCATTTCTTTACCGTTTCCGTGTTTACGTTACTCTGCCGTTTCTGGCGCCGTTTCTTCGCCGTGTCCGTAGCCATTTCTGTGTCATTTCCGTGGCCGTTTCCGGCTGGTCCTGAGGCCGTTTCTTTATCGTTTCCGGCTGCAGTTGTTCCCGGGCTCAACTTTCGTTAAAGAGTCCGTGCCGTTGAAACAACACAACCAATTGCCGTTTCTTTCCCGTTTCCAGTCGTGTTGTTTCTGTCGTTCCCGCCCTCGCCGAATGCCGTTTCCATTACTGTTTCTTCATCGTCTCCATTGCCGTTTCTTTGCCGTATCTGGTCGGCTTGTCTTAACCGTTTCCATTTTCCCAGACCTCCCGGACCTCTTTTTCGGGAACGGTGAAGACACGGCCCTGCCGTTTCCGGGGCACACTGAGACGAGGGCGCCCTCGGTGTCGTCCTCCTAGTCCTCCTTTTACTCCAACTCCTCCTCGTCCGCCTCCTCGTCCTCGTCGTCGTCCGCGTCGTGTTCGGAAACTTGGTTTTGGCTCGGGGGGGAGATCTGGGTTCGAGAATCGAGGCTCGCTCTCTCTCTCTCTCTCTCTCTCTCTCTCCCTCTCCCTCTCTCTCTCCCTCTGGTGGAAAAGAGATGGGGTCCTGAGGGATGGGGGCCAGAGGATAGGAAGAGATCCATGAGAGGATGTACGTTGTTTGAGGCACCCCGCCCTAAGGACCCCATTCCCCAGGACACCATCTTTGACCCGCCGATCTCGCTCTCCCTCCCTCTCTATCTCTCCCTCTCTCTCTCTCTCTTTCTGGGGCCTCCAGGAGACTCCTCGTCACCACGGCCTGACACGCCTTGCAGCTCTGGCCAGCGGGGACCTCTGGACAGGCCCAAGTCGCGGCGCCGCCGTGGGTAACCCATCGTTTCTAGACAGGCGGGCTCCACTACTCGCAAAGCCTCGGCGACCCGCCGACCCCTCGGCGTGTGTGAGACGCTGACCTCGTTTTCGTCGTCGTCTCCAGTCCTAAGAGAAGAATGAACGAAAAGGGAAAAAAGAAACGTCGTAGTTAGTTCGACCCCCTGCCCTTTTTCCCCTACGGGGGGGGGGTCCCGGGGAAAGTACCGCCTGTGGTGGATGGGGGGTGGTCCCAAGTCAGAATGCCCCCCCCCCCCTCCCCCAGATCCCAGCGGGTCCAAGAGTGGGGCGCCAGCGGGGTTATCGAGGGAGATCCAACCTTTGGGGTCGGCGGCGCCGGTCGTGAGGCCTTTACAACACTTTGGACCCGAAAACAACAGAAGTCTCGACCTCGTCCTGGTCCCAGGAAAGGGTTCGAGACGTGTGGGGGGGCATGTTGCCCAAAAAGCTCGACGCCAGGAGTCTGATGGAGGGACATGGCAAGGGGTGGGGAAGGGATGAGGGCCCCTACCCCTTGCCGCTAGGGGCGTTTTGTGTTCTGCGTTCAACTCCGATGCTTTCGGCCAGCCGAACCGGGATGTATCAAAAAACTGCAGCCCAACACAGGAACAAACACGGCAATGCAACACATAACCGAACTGACGACGGCGCGAACGAGAATCCAAAAACATAACAGCATACCTCCCAAACGGGGGAAACACAAAACAATGCATCTTGAAAACATACACGGCCCCACATGATCGTTTATGTAAGGTAGCGGCACTTGGGGCTGCTGTGCGAGTGAGCCAACCAACCACCTGCAATCTGCGAGCCCCAACCAAGTGACGTGAACGCAAGGCTGGTTGTGACTGCCAAATGCCCTGGCCCACCTGGGGCGCTCCGACGACGGCCTTCCGCAAGGCGAGAATGGTGGTGGAGAGGGAGGAGGAGCCACGCTCTGTGTTTTCCCTAGGAGTGCACGAATCAAGGGTGACCACTGCTGCCAACCCATTGTTACTATCAATCCTGCAAGGAGGGGGCTTCAGATGGCTTCAAAACTAGCACCTTCGATCCCTACTCTCCCACCTCGGGCGACAACTCCTTTTCCTCCTCCGTCGCCTCCACCTGTGGTTTGGTTGTAGGGGAACTCTGCTGTACCATGTCGATCCTCTGGATGGCTCGGCCAGCCTCCACCAACCAGCGGGCAAGCTGAAATTAATCCTGCATTCTCGCCGTTAGGGACGTCGGTCATCCTAGTCTGCTCTGCAGAGCAACGACATGAGCAACACGCGACCGGTGCGCCCACTGGGGGATGGGGCGATGCCAAGCAATGTGCGCCCACCTGCACCGTGATCGCCTGCACTAGAAGTGCGAGCCCGCGACAATATCCCCCACGTAAGGGGCCACAAGCTAGTAGATAGCGCCCGCAGCCACGCATAATAAACCAGGCACAGTCTTGACCATCTCCAGCACCTTCTTCTGCTTCCTGGGAAAATAATCGTTGCGCCTTCGCTGTTTGTCAGGTCTTTGCCACCGCCGACCATGTCAATTTGATGCATTGGGATATCCGTTAAGTGTATATTTCCACCCTGCTAATGCTGCTTCTTCTTCTTCTTGGACCTCCCTGCTAATGTATATTGCCACCCTGCTGACGTTGCTCCTCTTGGACAAATGGGACCATCGGCGACGGCGATTCAGAACCCACAACAGCAGACGATGCGTCGTCGGTCGAACCCGTCGTCGGTCGAACCGGTGGTAGCTAGAAGGATGCAGTCATAACACCAAGGGTTCAACTCGCAAATGAAACCTGCTGCTTTACTGTGGTGCTTGAGGAGGGGTCGTAGCGAAGTCTAGCCCTCTAAGACTGCGAGCTGGCGGGCTGGACATATTCAGGCTCTTGCATTGTTGCTTGTTGCAAGCCTTGGACAACGTATGCACGTTGAGCAACTCCAACGCTTTAATGTCCGCCATGTGCACCTGGAGGCCCTCATCCAAGACCACTGCCGTGCTGGGAATGAACTTTGCATCGCGAACTACCTCTTCAGCCCGGCCATGCCGTGCATTACCACCTGGTTGCCCATTCATGGGATACCCAAGAGCGATGCCTGCTGCATCCTGGTGATCACGAGTGAGTCAGTCCGAATATGAGTGTTGGGTCTCAGTGGAAGCGAGCCTGAGTGCGTTAAATACGAGTGAATGGATAGGAGAGTGAGTGAATATGAATGTGAGTGAGTCTGAGCATGAGTCGGTCTGGACTAAGACAGTCTTACTGTGAGTGAGTCTGAATGCGAGTCGATAAGGGTGTGAGTAAGTGGGTGTCAGTACCAGTGAGCCTGCGCGTGGCATGTATCTCTGATGGTGAATGAGTCTGACCATGAGTGTGCATAGGTAAGGTGCGCGTGGCACGAACAACACGAACATTTTGATTGTTGATGAATCGCCCAACATAAGAATGCATTGATGATGTCCACGCTGATGTCCCCCGTCGACCGGGCGACGCTGGAGGCGTCGAGAAAGGTGTAGATCAGGGTCTAACGCCGACCCAGACACATCCGCGCGACCTCCGAAAGCGTATGCTGATGCTGCGCTGCGGCTTTCGAAAGGAAGGATGATGATGGCGGTGATGACGCTGAGGATGATTCGGATGATGAGGAGTAAAGAAGGAAAAGTGGGAGGATGATGGAAAGAAGATGCGGAGGAGAGTGATCAGGAGGATCAGGAGGAGGGAGAGCATGAGGGGGAGGGAGGGGAAGAAGACGGAGGAGATAGAAGGATAGAATGGATGAGGAGAAAGAGGATGATGAGGCGGAGGAGGAGGATGAGGTTAGACGCCCGTGACAGGAGAGGTCAGGAGGAGGAGGAGGGAAGGGAGGGGGAGGAGGAAGGAGGATTAGGGGGGAAGAGGAGGGATGAAGGAGGAGGACGAGGAGGCGAGCCCCCACGGTGGCCTCGAACTCCTTCTCGTAGGCGCTCTCACTCTCCAGCGCCGCCAGCCTCTCCAGCGCCGACTCCAGCGCGGCCTCGCCACCGCTGCCGCTCCACCACAACCAGCAGCCCAAGAGGGTGAGGGGGGAGCAGGGAGGAGAGATGACGGGAGGGGCAGACCCTCCTCCCTTCCTCCCTCCTCCCTCACCCCTCCTCCCTCCCCCCTCCCCCTGCTCCTCCTCCTCCTCCTCCTGCTCCTGCTCCTCCTGCTCCTCCTCCTCCTCCTCCTCCTCCTTCTCTTCATCCCCATCCTGGTCCCCATCCTCCTCCATCCCTCATCCCTGTTGAAGTCTCCGACTGTGCCACAACCAGATGTGTCCATAGGCAGGGCTGGGCGGCTTGCTTCATACAAAGTTCCAACAACCCCCAAAACTTGAGCGAGTACAAGGATGGAGGGCAGGTATTTTTTCAAGACGCGGCTCCATCCCTCTTGAGCGCTGCCCACATTCGCTTTTCAATCGCCCGACAATTATAAGGATGGAGGTTCGATTGTTTTCAAAATACTGCTCTCGCCTTAGCGCCGCCCGCCATGTTCTTCAAAGCTCCCGACCTCTACAAGGATGGAGCAAAGGGGGACACATGTAGCTCTGGACGCGGTGCCGCGCACATTTATTTGAACAACTTCTACCAACTACAAGGATGGAGGTCAGTTCGTTTTTTCTGTTTGACAACGCGGCGCGCACTGTAGACTTACTCAACCTCCACGACCCGATGTGCCGAAGTTCAAACATTGGCAAACACGGAGGTCGGGCCCGTTTCAAAACGGGGCTCTCGAAATAGAGGCGCGCAAACCCATCGAACAAAACATAACCAGCTAGACGAATGGAGGGCGACTGATTTCTCCAAGACGGCCCAAGCGAGCCCCCAAGAGGATCTCAGAGACCACCAGCAGGCCCCGAAAAGCAACTTCAGAAGCTCTTAGAAGCCCCCAAGAGGCTCTAGCACATCCCCAATAATCCCCCAAGAGGTCCCTCGAGGCCCCAGAGAGGCCTCCAAGAGGCCCACGCCTACAAGAGGCCCACGCCTACAAGAGGCCAGCCAGAGGCGGCCCAAGAGAAACCCCGACGTATCCAACACGCTTCTTACCTACAACCGATGCACGGTGACGAGATGTGCTGCCCGAGCTTCGGTGCGGGTGTGCTCCATCGAATGCTGCCTTGCAACTACCCGTCCACTATGTCTACTCCCAAACGGGGTTCACGCGGCAGCCCAAAGCAGACCAGCTCTTCCAAAATCGTTGTGCTCCCAATGTTGCCCTTCTCCCGTACCCCCCCCCCCTGGGTGGGAACCAGATGGCTCCAATCTAACCTCTAATAACCCAAGGTGGTATCCAAGATCGTGCAAGAGAGTGTAAGTCGGCTTCATATTGCATCCAACATGCCGCCAAGAGGTCATAAGAAAGCGCCAGAACTACTCGAGGTAGCCACGATTCCGATGGGCTCTTTGAGGCCCTCAGAGATTGGACCTCAAGACGGGCCCAAACGACTCCCACGACGGCCCAGACGGCCCCCGAGAGCACCCCACGAGAGTTCGAAAAGGACTCGAAGGGGTGATTTTTGCGGGCTCCAGACAGGGGTGGCCTACTTGGAACAACCCTGCGTAGATGGGCCGATGGCCTGCAGGACGGCCCCGACGCACCGAAAAGGCATTCGATAGAGCCCCAAAGTCACCGAACAGAGCCCGATGAGAGCCCCAAGATGGCTCCAAGAGGCCTCTGACTGGCTTCCAGAAACTCCCAAATTTGTCATTGTCGGGCGCTGCTCGGGCTGAGCCCAGCCGTGATTGGACGGTACTTCCCTGACTTGTTTCGTGTGTGCTCCCCACCACCCTTATCACGACGGTTCGCCTTGGAACCACCTCTTGATAGGATACGAGGGGCATGCGAAACATCATTAATAATACACCAGGATGCGAAATGTCTACGCAGAGAAAACAAAGTAAAGATAAGATCAGCGGTAGACGCATGCCTCTTGATAACGCCGACGGAGACGTGGATGCGAACACGAACAAGACGACCAAACTATTCCCCCTCCCGAGGGCTTCTTTTTCACTACTACCACATCACAACGACAATGCCAACCCGTGAAACAACATAATGATGAGACGGCCCGCTCGCCAAACAAACCAGCAACGTACCATGCACGTGCACCAACCTGCAAACGGCGATCACGCGCATTGGACCTCGGCCTGAGCGACAGAAAAAAACACATCCCAAGGCCCTCTTGGGGCCTTGCTGGGCCGTCTTGGAGGCCATCTTGGGCTTTCTTGGGACCCTCTTGGGTGGTCTTGGGGCTCTCTTGGGGGCTTCGTTGGCCGTCCTGCGGCGATGTTGAGGTCCTCTTGGGCGTCTTGGGGCGTCGGGATCCGAAAAGAACAGACTGCTAGAATCCAATACAAACCACTTCTGGAGTCAAGGATTGAGGCCGCCGTGGGCGCTCTTTCGGGGGGTTCTCGGGACTTCTCCTCGGGCATCTTGGAGGCGATCACGCGCATTCGACCTCGGCCTGAGTGACACAAAAGCCCAGCCCTGGGTTGAGCAGGCACCGACCGTCCCGAAATGTTCTTAGAACCCAGACTTATTCTAATAACAAAGGCAATGCTCTTAGAACATAAACCCGATGTGCTAAAACAAGGCAGTCCCAGCCAGAAATGTTCTAAGACAATCTCGTGGAAACCACAAAAGGTTCTTAGAATATTGTTTGGTAGGCCTATGGGCACGCCAGGACGCTTCGCCACTGCTTGACTGGGGTTCGTGGAGAAAATCGGGCTCCACATCGAGCCGCATCGGCGATGCATCGGCAATGCGGAGGCGATCCTCCGACCCCTGGCCTCGAGAGAGGCACCCAGGACAGACTCCGAAGGCAACATACTACCCATGAGGACCCCAAGGTGTGGAAGAGAGAAGACCAACCTTTGCTCCAGACGACTGGCTGTTCCGTGGGGAGGCCTCCTCCTCGAGGCCTACAGTCAACCTGCATGGTAAGGATGCGATGTAAGGATGCAAGGGCCTTGGAAAGCCATGTTGACGCTTTTCGAATAGCGCTGGCCAGCGAAAGCTGCCAGGGATGTGCCTTAGGGGCAAGGATGCAGGGGTCACCTTGGACTAGGGAGCCCACAAAGGACGTACGCGCCCAGCTATGTACATGAACACGGTCCCTTGAAAATCGAGACCGGCCGCGTGATACGAACATTCGCGCAATGCGAACTCTCGAAACCAGCGTGGATTCATGTACGTGTACGTTCTTTTGTCGCTCCTGATGGACAACTCCCTCATCCTTGCTGTGCGGGTTGACTGCACTCGGACATCTGGGAGGCCTTGAATCCCTAGGGCTCCTGGGCGCCCCGGCGCTTCCCGGGTGGCCCTCCGGCTCTCTCGGAGGCTGCCGGGACGGCCCAGGCAGGCCACCGAGGCCGGCCCCCAGAGAGGCCTCGGGACAGCCCGACAGAGCCCCGACGTGGACGGCGCCGAAGAGTTCCCCAGGACGGCCCCCGGAGACCTCCAAAACGGCCAAAGGAGCCCGAAGACCACCCAATGGTGTCCGCAGACGGCCCAAGAGGACCCCCAGGATGGCCCAGGAGGGCCCTCAAGGGGCCTCCAGGACTGCAACACAGGAGCCCGAGACAGCCGGTATTATGGGCCCCGTGCGAGTTCCTCAAGAAGTAGAGAGGCGTCAGATGTTACGACCTCCTGGGCGGTGCTCGAACCGTTGCCAGACAGAGTGCTTCGCTGGCACGTTGGTGGACTTGCTGTCAGGCAACTGGATATCAAGCCAAACACGGCTGCAATTAAACTGGCGATGAACATCGCAAAGGCAGTACCAACTGGCATAATTAAGGACGGCTGCAATGTCGAACAGCAAGACCAGCAGCAGCAGCAGATCACGTGGAGGAGGGGGACGGGAGGAGGGAGGGGGGGAAGATGGGGGACGAGGCGGCAAAGTTGAGAAGGGAGGGAGGCTGCGAGGGGAAAGCTCCAGAACTCCAGCTGCATAATTAACTGTTCGATGAGCGGGGCTCCAGAGCTATCAACCCCGACTTTCGCATGGGCCCCACAACAATCATGTCATGGTACGATTGGCTCAGGATACGTTCCAGATTGTCTTGAGAATCTAGCGGCCCTCGTCTCTGCAGCCCGTCTGGAACAGCAGGGAATCTCGGACATCCGGGAAATCCTACAACGTATGATTATCATGACCTACTGCTCCTCAGAATGATTGCCCTAACTCAGAACGGCTCGCCGCCATGACTCTCGACGGGACGCTGGAGGCCTCTGTACTATTCTCTTTGGCCACTGGTCGGGCCAGGGAGAGCTGCTCAGAGGAAGCTGAAGGGGAACTGGAACACACAAATAAATACACACAAATAAAAAGATTCCCCATATTTTCCCATATTTTCTGGATTTTTGTCTCCCCGCCCAATTCCCATATTTTCCCATATTTTCCTGGCGCTCGACGATGAATTGTGTCTGTGTGTTTCTTTCCCTCCTGAGAAGCTTCCAGCGCCCCCAGGAGTTTCTCGACGGGGCGAAAACAGCCGGGAGACGACCCCCGACCTCCCGACCTCTTCGATCCTGCGGCACCCACAAGGGGGTGGCGCGAGGGGTGTGGGCGTCTAAGAGTCTAAGAAGATGGAAGGGTTTCTTAGAAGGCAGGAAGGCCCCAGAGGCTTGTGAGAAGGCTCCTTACAAGCCGGGCGGGTTTTTAAGTAAGAGGGCCCCCTGCCTTTTCAGAAGCCAGCCACCTTTTCTTGGAAGCCCAGCCCCCTGGCGCCATCCCGTTGTGGGAGCCGCTGGCCCTTCGATGATTCTGACACGCTGCGCGCTTTCAAGACGAAAGGGCACTGCACGCAGGCTGATGCGGAACCAGGCTGCACGGCGGCCTGGGAACGTCCTGCGAGTGACTCGGCCGATTTCCTTGCCAAACAGATGGCGGAATGTCACCCGTGCGCGGCGGTTGATGTCCCACACAGCCCCTGAAAACATCCCAGCGCCTACAAAAGACCTCCGAGTATCTCGGGCCGCGAGTGGTTGCGCGATCATCGACCACTCACAAAAAAACAAGACTGCCAATGCTGGACATCAAATGACAACTTTACGTCACCATATGATTAATTATGAACCACATCTACATCGCACAGCTGGGTGGGGCGCTGGAAGGGCCTGCATCCCCGATGTGTGACCGCCGCGATCGCCGCGGCGACCTTTAAGATCTACACGGGGGCTTTGTTCAGGGGCGGGAATCGCTCAACGAGCGACCCCCTGGGCTTCAACCAACGGGGCCCTGGAGCAGGAGCTGACGGCGCGCACGAAGGGGTAGGGGGAAGGGGGCAACGCTTCTCAGAGGGAAGCCGCTTCTGAGAAGGCGCCCGCCCTACATCCACAGAGAAGGCCCGCGCCTCGCCTTCCTAGAAGCAGGGGTGTTTCCGAGAGGCCTCCCCCCCTTCCCCCTACCCCTTTCTGCGCATGGCCGACATCCAGCCACCCATCCGTCCGTCCGTCCCTCCATCCCTTCTCCCTGCCCGCCCCCCGCCCCCCCTTCCTCCCGCGTTCCCCACCCCTTCCTTCCAGGGGTGCTTCCAAAAGGCCCTCCCCCCCTGCCCCCATACACGTCGGCCAGAAGAACTGGGTAGAAGCATGAAACAAGAAGGCGCTGGCAGCAACTTGGGTCTCCGCCCGCCCCCCCGAAGAGGAGGGAAGAGGGAGCATCGCTCGACGCTCAGAGTGGGGAGGCGCCCAGAGCAGATTGGGATCTGGAGATGCACCCACACTTTCAACGACTGGCGTGTGCCCCCGTCTGCGCGGCCGACGGGAGGCGGCGGCGCGCGCAGGAAGGGGCTGCGACGGGGGTGGCCTCCTTCGGAGAGCCCGCGCCCGGCCGTGGAAACACCGGAACGCCCCAGGACCCCTCTGAGACTGCCAGCGACGACGTCGTCGCCGTCGTCGTCGATGACGGTGGGGTCCTGAAGGATGGGGCCATACGGAGAAGAAGGGATCCTCGGGGATGGACAGATACCCCTTTAGCAAAACGTGGTTTGGTGAAAACGACCTCGAACCCAAACCTGGCGGGCGCAAACCTGGAAAATGACGGCCGCGGCGCCCTCTCGAGAACCGTAAACGGACAATTCACGAATCGACGTGTCAGTGCGGGGTCCTGTTCATCCCCGAAATCGAGGGTGGATTTACATTGGTCGAACCACCTCGTCATTGGGACCCCATCCCTTAGTACCTGATCTTTGAGCCTCCGACTGCCTTCTCCGAAAGCAGACCCCCGCGCCACATCCCCGTGTGCGCGAGGGGGGGGACGTTGGAAAAGGGGCTGGTTTGGTTTGGTTTAGCTATTCCTGCGGGCGCGATGTGTCGCGCAAGGCGTGGCTGCACGGTGAAGCCAGGACGAGGATGAATTCGGACGAAGACGAACCGAGAATCCCTGAAACCCGTCGGCTCTGGGGGATGTCTCGGACGCAGCGGCCCTGTCAACGCGTCCCCGAACGCTCCGACAGCGTTCCTGAACGCTCTCGAACGGATTGTCCTCGGGAGCGGCCAAGAGGGGGGTGTCCAAGAGGGGGGGGCGCAAATCATGACCGGCGGCATGTGCGCGGCCCAGCGGGGAGGCCAGGGACGTAATGAAACAAGAAGAGGCGCCATGAGATCTGGGGAAATATCATGGCCCCCGCCATGATATCCACCCCCCCCTAGTCATCACCCCCCTCTTTTCCGCCCCCGATATCCTCGCCCTGGCCCCGTCCGACTCCCCCCCGGAATCGTCGCCGTGGACCGCGCTCGCGGCCCACTCCCCGATGCCACGCCGGCGGATCGGCGACGGGCCCCCGATGGCGAGGCCGCACTTTCCAGGGGGCAGGCCAAGGCTCGCGGGCCCACCTCGGCGAGGGGTCGACGAAGGCACGCGTGAGCCTGTCCATGCCTGGCGCGGCCCCTGCTCCACGTTTGTTTCGCGTTGGGCGGACACCAAGTGCTATGGTTGCTGCGTCCTGGCAGCGCGAGAGGCCTCAAGGTATAAAACAAAAGCCCGCTGGGACATGGGCGAACAAATTAAGGCAGCCGCCACTGCGGGAATGGAGATACGAAAAGATGCGGCACATGTAAGTTGCCAATGAGAGCACAGAGTACAACCCCTCATCCACCTCATCCTCCTCCTTCTCCTCCTCTCCTCGTCCTTCTCCACCTCCTCCTCCCCAGACCAGAAGACCCCCGACGTCATGACTTGGTCACAAACTCTGACTGCCAGCCTATCCCCCCCCCGTAAAGCTGCCAAGTGGTTTTCGGATCATTTCTCGGCTCTCCCGCGGCCGTCCGGGACGAGCCGGGCACCCCCAGAACGCTCTCGGCGAGGCGCAGCGGCTGGAAAGCATCCCGATGCTGGGCACCCCCCCTAACGCTGCCCATCCCCAAGGGCGCCCTACTTCGCGTTTCGCGCTGTGCGAGCCACGAACAACTTCGCTCTCTCGCGCCGCCCCCTAGGGGAGAAGAGGAATGATGAGAAATCGGAGCCGAACCGCGAAGCAAAGCGCGAGTAACCTCGATGGCGCTCTCACCTCCCTCCCCATCCCTGAGCCTACGCATCCCCTCTGGGCCTGCCCATCTCACCCCCCGAGCGCTGCCCCTGGCCGTGTGCGCGCCGACCACCGAGCTGCGCGGGCGGGAGGGGTGGGGGGGAGGCGGGGGCAGTGGGCGGGGCCTGGGGGCCCTTCAGGTGCGACATCCTGGCCATCTTCGCGGCAATCGCGGGGTCCACGCGGCTGAACTGGCCCGGGGCGTGGCAGCGAGCGCGCAGTAAGATGAGGAGGATGACATAGGCGCAGGAGGAGGCGGCGAAGGATTTTGACCTGACAAAGACCAGCCGCACGCGTACTGGCCAGAGGTTTGAAAAACGCGCAGGAAAATTGCACCGTCCTCAGGGGGGAGGAGGCGAAGGAGGAGGAGGAGGGAGGAGGAGGAGGAGGATATGATGATGATGATGATGATGATGATGAGGAGGAGGAGGAGGAGGAGGAAAAGGAGGAGGATGAGGATGAGGATGATGATGAGGATGACGATGGTGATGATGATGATGATGATGATGATGATGAGGAGGAGCATGAGGATGAGGATGATGATGAGGATGATGATGGTGATGATTATGATTATGATTATGATGATGATGATGATGATGATGATGGCGATGATGATGATGATTATGATGATGACGACGACGACAACGACGACGATGATGCTGATGATGAGGAGGAGGAGGAGGGAGGATGATTGTTTCGAGGAGGCGGAAGGACCAGAGTCTATCCAAGATGCATTAACGATGCTGCAACACACCCTCCCGTCCCAAGTCCCCGACTCGGAAGTCCCTATCAGTACTCATTTCCACTGCGGGAAATGCGTGGAATTCTGGAGAGACCCAGTTTTGTGAAAGGATCCACCTCCACCCATCTAGACGCAAAGATGCCGGATGATGAAATTCAGGGAAGCGTTCATCAATCGTCCCACCTTGATGGTGAACATATTGCACAATTTCACAATAATGGCCCCATAAGGCTTGCGGAAAGCCTAAGCGAGAACTCCGTACTAAAAATGAGCCGCCTTCCGTCCGTGCAGCTATTGCACACTTGGGAAGTCGGGTCATAGAATTTAAGGACTTCTCGAGCGAGAGCCGCAGCTTGAAATCCAATCGATCCCCACCCACGTAACTGCTGGAAACTTGTAAGACGATCGTGAGCCGCGCTGCGGCAAGAGCCGTATCTTGGAAACCAGTGGCCCTTCACCCTTGCACTTGCTGGATATGGTAGCTCCAGGCCGGTGAATCAGAAGGAGGTCTCGAGCGAAACGCCCCCGCCAGCCTGCGACGTTGCCTTGTGGTGCGACAGTGGGGATTTGTTTACAAGGGGAGGGATGCAGGAGTAGGATGGGACATTGCCCGAGACGTACCCAACCCCTTCTGCACGCGAGGCGAACAGTTGCAAGAACGCCCCATACGAAAGAACACATCGCCTGATATGCACGATCTGCGCTGCCCTCATCTCCGCCGTGCCTCCCAGGAGCCCACGAAAAAGGCGGAAGTTACGCAGTTGGCATGGTCGCCGCAATCCAACGGTCAGGTGAGACAGACGCACCCGCGGTCAGACGCCACCCCCCCAGCGGGCAGACGCCCCCTCGGCGCCGCCGCCAGCCCCGCAATGGACTGCTACTAGCTGTCGGCACCTCTCGGCCATCCTCGTACGCAAGGCGGCCACGGACGCGGTCTCCTCGTGGGAAGGCGTGGCAGCGCCTGTGCAGTGCATACGATGTCCCACCCAGACTGCCAGGCGATCCTGGCAGCGGCTGGACAAAAGAAGTCCCGGGTCACCGTGCGCGGCGCCGGAGGGCTGTCGTGGCTTTGGGCACGCGAGGAGGTCAGCGCGAGAGGCCTTGCCCCGCCCTCTCCCTCCCCCGATGCTCCTCTCCTCCTCTCCTGCCAGTCCGCTCCCGCGGACAACCCCCCCCCCCGGCGCTGGGGATTGCGCGCCGTCGTCCTGAGCAGTGCTGGGTCTGGCGTCCCCTGCATCAGCACCGATCAGCTTGCTAGGATTCCCCATGTTTTGCACGGCCCGCATGGATATCTCCATGCCTTGTGGGTCCTAGGGTGCAAGAGAGCAGGTGCAACTTGCTTCGTCGACAACATGCTGGGCGCGTCCATGCAACAGGGGGCTGGCACCGCCGTGCTCGGTATCGCTGGCGTTGCCGTCGGCACGGCCTGTCAAAGATCTGGCCGGCGCCCATTGGCACTGGGGGGGAAGACAGTGCGGGCGAGGCCGCAAGACACCATCGCAAGAAACCCAACCCTGAGAACCCGTGCGCGAGGTGCAGCTGAGGGGAAATCCAGAGCACCCTGAACGCAGCAGCTCCTTCAGCGGCTGCGGAAGTCACCGCGCAGCGAGAGGAGCGAAGAAACCCAAGATACCCTGACGAAAAGCATATGGTTTGTGATGCGCGCCCCCACTGTAGGACAAGCCGCTCTCCTCGCGCCAAACGCCACGCCGAACCCGACATCCAGGAATTTGAATTGAGATCCTCTTTCCGTGGAGGGGGCGGGGCTAACTTCCAGACACCCCGCGGAAGCAATCATACTGATCCCTCCCCATGGCTGAACATTGTTGCGCGGATGTGGAAGTCAGCAGCGCTGCCCGCCTTTGTGCCCGAGGGCCAGGGGACAGCCAATGCATGAAGCGGGCCCATCTGTTGGCAGAGGCTCGGTTTGGCCCCCACGCGAAAAAAACAACACTGGGTGTAGAGCTGCCTGGCCCCGCCCGGTCTTTGGCAGGAATCCCAAGGGAGTGCAATGGGGGATCAGGCCAAAAACCGCAGGGAGCAGAAGATTAGACTCGCGCGCCTGCAGGGGGCGGTCGCGTTACGACGGTGTCGTTCATTTGCCCTGGACGCGGACCCTGTGCAAATACCGTGTGCCTGGGGCGACACTCCTGACAGTTGTTCGCCAGGTAGTTCGTTTCATTCCGCCAGTGCTTAGAAGAACGGCTTGGGTAACTGGTAGGGGCATTGGATGAGAGGATGAGAAAAACAAGGGGGAGCAAAAATAGCCACACTTTATTGGGTTTAATATCTTGCACAGGCGACCGCTATAGTTTATCACTTTGGATGGCCTGGGGGCTCGGGGGATCCTCATCTCATCAGTTGTTGCCTGGCATTTCCCGTCAGTTATCGACGTGGCATTCATATTCTCCGCGCAACGTGTCATTCCCACAGCTGCTCCAGGTTTAGGCTGGCGCCCAAGGCAGGGCTCGTGGCCACACATTCTGAGCATTGTCGCACATGTTCATGAGCTTTGGGCTGGAAAAGAGCATCCCGCGAGATCTGACTCCACAGTTAATCGACATAAAATGGAGGTCGCGGCTGGATGAGCGTGGCCCCCCAGGAACCTACGAAGGTAGAGACAGTTGCGCAGTTCGCGGCCACCCAGGGAGCAGCGAAGTCTAAAATGGACATGCGAGCCAGCAGCCCTAGAAAGTGGCGACAGTTGCATGTTCGCAGCTGCCCAAGAAGCAACGAAGTCTCCACTGGATCTGCACGTCCCACGGCTCCGCTGGACCTCCCAGGGGCCATCGACAGTGGCGACTGTTGCAAGGTTCGCAGCACCCCAAGAAGCCGCGAGGTCTCAAATGGGAGCGCGTGGCCCTCCACCTCGCTGGGCCCCCCCCAGGTGCCCACGAAAGTGGCGACGGTTGCGCAGTTCGCAGCCACCCAAGAAGCAGCGAAGTCCCGGCTGGGTGCGCAACCCGAACAACTCCAGTCCACTGGACCTCCCAGGCGCCCAAGCAAGTGACAACTGCTAAGCAGTTCGCAGCAGCCAAGGGAGCAGCGATGTCTCGGCTGGATGCGCGTGGCCCACGACTCCGCTGGACCTCCCAGCGGCCCACGAAAGTGGGCAACTGCTGCGCAGTTCGCAGCCACACAGTGAGCAGCAAAGTCATGGCTGAATGCGTGTGGCCCCCGACTCCGCTGGACCTCTCAGGAGCCCACGAATGCGGATACAGATGTGCAGTTCGCAGCCACCCAGGGAGCAGTGATGTCTCATATGGGTGCGTGTGACCCCGACTCCATTGGACCTCTCAGGAGCCAACGAGAGTGGCGACGGTTGCGCAGTTCGCAGCCACCCAGGGAGCAGCGATGTCTCATATGGGTGCGCGTGGTCCCCCACTGCGCTAGAACTCCCAGTAGCCCACGAAAGTGGCGACGGTTGCGCCAGTTCGAAATCACTCAAGGAGCAGCGAGGTCTTGGCTGAATATGTGTGGCCCCCGACTCCGCTGGACCTTCCAGGAGCACGAACGTGGCGAAAGTTCGCAGCCATCCAGGGAGCAGCGTGGTCTCGACTGGATCTGCGTGTCCCACGGCTCCGCTGGACCTCCGAGGAGCCCCAACACATGGCGACTGTTGCACCCCAGGGAGCCGCGAGGTCTCAAATGGGAGCGCGTGGCCCTCCACCTCGCTGGGCCCCCCAGGAGCCCACGAGAAAGTGGCGACAGTTGCGCAGTTCGCAACCACCCAGGGAGCAGCGCAGGAGGAGGCAGGCTGCGGCAGGAGGATGAGGGAGGAGGAGAAGAGGAGTGATGATTGGAGACCATGTGGCACTATTCAAACAGGTTGCCCAGCACTGCAGGGTTGGACACATAGCAGCAACATCAATGTCACATGGATGATGAGGCGAATGAGGAGATGAGGAGATGATGATGATGATGAGGAGGAGCAGGAGGAGGAGGAGGTGGTGGAGAAGGAGGAGCACTGGACAATCATTGCATGTGCAAGTATCGTCTGTACATGCAGCTGTTGTAAAGAGTCAACTTGCCGCAGGAGATATGTCAATGAAACAAATATCCATCCTGCTTCGGTCGGCCATCGTCCACAGTACATCATCCACCATGCTTCATATGCTTCATCGTCCGCCTCCCTCCTGGACGCCCCCGCATGTTTGTCGGGCCCCCTGAAGCTTGCAACAGCCCCGCGACCGTCACAAACCGGCTCGGGATAATAAGCTGGTGCTGGGGCAGGCCGCCCAAGAGGCCCCCAAGAGGCCCCCAAGACGCCCCAAGAGGCGCCCAAGAGACCCAAAAGAGGCCCCAAGAGGCCCAAAAACGGCCCCCAAGAGGCCCCAAAACTCGGCTAGCCCACAACGGTGCGACAATATGGGCCGGCGGAATGAGCGAAGCGATTAAATAAGCTGGTGCTGGGGCAGGCCGCCGGGCCCATCGGCAGCGAGCCCCGCGGGGGAAGGTGAGCAGGGGCGAGCCTTCTCAGAAGGCTCGGAAGCCCCCCGGCCTTCTTTCTTAAGACGCTCTCGAAACCTCCCCCGAAGTCTGACGCGGCACACCGCTCGGAAGGCCGGAGGCCCTCTGAGCAATTCCGCCACCTTCTGGGAATAGGGGGAAAACAAACCTACCTCGCTTTTGACCACCCTCGCTTCCAAGAGATACCAAACGATGCCAAATTGCAGCCTGTACTGGTCAGGCCCCTTGACGAGAAGGCGCGTGGTATGGCTTGGTTTTGCCTGGAAGCGAAAGCGGGGTAGGTAATTCACGCTCTGAGAGAAGGCCTTCTCCTTCTCACGTAACACATGACGAACTGGGGCGAACGGGGAAACAACCCTGACAACGACGAACCGAACCGAGCCGAACCGCCTGACAATTCCGACGCCGAACCGAACCGAACCAGACGCACTTCGGAACCTACAGTCGGGGAGTTGACCTAAGGAACGATAAATGAGGGACGAGGCCCCTTTTTCCCATAAATTAATGAACTCCGATGTTCCATGGAAAGCCTCAGGAAAACCCAAGGAGCACTGTAAAGCAACTAAGGAACACGGAGCCCCTCCCCAACACAAAGGGTTCCTTCTTCAGGGCCCCGACTGTAACCAACCGAACCGCTCCCTCCCTGAGTTTAGGACCCGATTCCCTCAGGACCCCGTTCCTTCACGGCGGCATCCACGTCGACACCCCAAGACCTCTCTTGGCGTGCGTGCTGACCATTGCCTTGTGCGGGATCCAGCCGCGGCGGCAACTAGCCTTCTCCTGAAGGCACGCCGCAAATCTCGAAGAGCGTCCAATAAGCTCGCAACAAATCTCGATTATCGAAAAGCGTCCAACAACCTCGGTCCTCGAGCCTCGATCGAGGGGAAGGGAAATGGGGAGGGGGAAGGAGGGGGTGGGGCACTTTTTAGGCGGGCGCCCCTGGGGGTGGTTGGTCGTTCGCTGACTCCGCGAGACGGCGGAGGGGGAAGCCAAAAGCAGTGCGGCAACGACTGCTGTACAATCCAGAAGTCGCTGGAGGTCATCTTAGAAATCCTAAGGGCTCCTGGGAGACACAGAGTGAAGAGAACGAGGGCGAGGAGGGCGAGGACGAGAATGACGAGTTGGACGAAGACGCGGGCGACGCCTGGCCTCGGCGCCCAGCACCTCGAAGGCGATGGACCACTTCATCTTGCGGGTCGGCGAGATGAAGTGGGACCACTTCTCCTTTGCAATTGGCATCTGTACACCACCACCGTGTTTGGCCAGTGCAATCCTGGGCCCTAGCATGGTGCATGGTCACTCCTGGCCGAGGCCAGGAGGGTCTGCAAAACAACCTGGGACCACTGATGGCACTGGCCAAGCATAGCAGCGTACGGATGCCTCCTGCGGATCTCCTTCTCGGGGATGTCGCACCGCACGCAAATGCTGTACGAGCCGTCCTCCTGGCCGGTTGGGGCGCAGGCCAGCCGCCGTCGTCGGCGCCGCCGACGGCGCTGCCGTCGGAGTCGCGGTCGTCGTCGTAGTCGTGGTGATCGAAGCGGCACTGGTCGTCGGTGTCGTAGTGGTCGACGGCGTAGTCGACGTAGTCGGCGGAGAAAGAACCGTGTGAGTCCCCTCCTGCTCCTCCTCCTCCACAGTTTCTCCTCTTTTTTTCAACAATCCTGGAGGGAATGTTTTTAGGAGCGCGATGCTGAGCGAGGTCAACTGGAATACGTTGAATCACTTGAGCCGAAAGGCCAACCAGACAAGCTGTCCTACTGACAAAGCACATGGAAGTGAACTATGAACTATGACAACATCTGCCGATCCTCATGTGAGGCATGAGTTACCAGCTGATTCAATGATAAATCTCATTGGGACAAGCAATTCTGGAAAACTGATCCACAGATCGGGGGACGACCGGGTTATGCGGTTCTAATCACCCAAATTTGCAGGTGCGGAGAAACTGTAGAATGCACAGGGGACGGGATCAGATCATACCGTACATTGAATCGAAGTTGCGCTAACGTGCGCTGTGCAAACACTCCAAGATTTGGAGGCCAAATGTAGATGCCCATGACAGCACGCAGCACGCGATTCCAACTCACATCCACTTGTTTTGAAGCATTCAAGCGTTGTGAGCGCAGTTCCCCATGATCCGAACGATCATTTATACAACCGTGCACCACACAACACCTATCAATGAGACCCCGCACAGTACAGTAGATGGCAAAAGGTCGGAGCACCCCCAGATTCCCGACATGCCACAGCGGAGGGACAGAGGCAAGGAAATGCACAAGGAAACAATGATGTTCTGAAATCAAATGGGCGCAGCCTGTCCGAAGCCGAGAGCGGACCAGCGGAGGCTCTCAGGCGCCTCGGCGGCTGGGCGGACCAGCGGAGGCCCAGCCGAAGGGCTGCAGCAGGAGCCCATGGCCCCCCATGAACGAATTTGGCCCGACCCGCCAATAGACTTGGGCGGCGGGCGGAGGAGGGGAAGAGGAGGCGGAGGGAGGCAGAGGACGGAGGACGGAGGGGGGAAGGGCGAGAGTGCGCTCATGTCGAGCGCTGAGGGCCTCCACAGCCCTGCAGAAACCTGCTCAGACCTGCAGCCCTGGTCAAACAGACGGCACCGTCCGTTCTCCGTGCCACGCCTGATCAACGACGTCAAACATGAGGAAGACGGAGCAGGAGGAGGGGCAGGAACGGGAGCAGGAACACGAAGAGGCCAGGCCGGGGCCGCCGGCCTGTGTCATGTGGGCCAGCGCGCCCTCCGACTCGCCGCCCTGCAGCGCGTGCTCCTTCACGGCCTGCCGTTGCGCGGCGGGCCCCCGACCGGCGGCTCTCCCTGCGGCACCCCCTGCGGCCTGCAGAGGGGCCCAGCCCCCTGGCGCTCCCCCGAGAGGACGCGCTGAGGGCCAGAGGAGGCCCCCCGCGAGAAGCGCAGGAAACGCCCAGGAGAGTCTCCAGGGTAGGAGACTCAGTGGGTGACAACCCCGCGTCGCCCGTCAAAGCTCTGCCTCCCAGGAGGAGGCCTCCGGGACGGACAGGCGCACTCGTGTGCTAGATGCTGGCGTTGGGGGCGCGCGTCTGACGCGAACACGCAGCCCCCCGATTCTGTCTGGGTGGAGCCGATCCCCCACCTCGCCCCCCCCCGTACCCGCCAAGCTTTGCTCGCGACCCTCGGGGGTCGGGGGTGGGGTGGGGGGGGGGCGAGACGCTGCCAGCGCCAGGGCCCCGCTCCGAGCGCGCGCCCGGAGCACCTCCCAGGGAGGTCGGCGGCGGGGCCGCAGCGCCAACGCGTAGGATACGGATACGCGGTAAGTGAGCAAGGGCCTCGGACGCCCATGCCGGGGCTCTTCGAGCGGGGCTGGCCATCGAAAGTGGTCGAGGCTGGGCCGAGGATGACCGAAGAGGCAAGGATGCAGGGGTACCCTTGGGAAGTCGACCATACTGACCTATGCGGGCTGACTGTAGCCACTCAGGGTGCATCAGCCCGTCGTTCTCGAGGTCCGTGAGGACGTCGCGTGGCAAATTGACAGGACGTCGAGGATCGAGGGGGAGGGTCGGACGCTTCCAGCCCCTCGTCGGGCCTCTGGAGGCCTCCAGGGAGACCTCCAGAGGTCAGGACTCGGGGCGGGGGCACAACTCGCCCCCTCCGCCTCTCTCCCTGCCGCATCTCCCCCCATTCTAGCTCCGTCCGTCGTTCTCCTCCTCCTCCTCCTCCTCCTCCTCCTCCCATCCATCTTTGCTCTGCCAGCTCCCCCAACTCTTCCAAGTCTTGGCCACACGCGCTCACACGGGGAACGTTGACCGCATTTCCCGTGGCCGGTGGCCTTAGGTTTAAAGCGCAAGCCTAAAGCGAAGCGCCGCGATGGGTTGTGCAGGCATTCGTTGGCTCTGTCACACGGCCTCCCTCTTCCCCTCCGTCCTCCCTCGACCTCCCAAGTCACAAGACTCCGCCCAAACTGATTGGCCCTCATCTCCCTCGGAGGAGAGAGAGGAGAAGAAGGAGGGATATTGCGCTCAGCTCAGCCTTGCGACACAATTCCCGCCCGAAAACTCGTTTTCCTCTCTGGCTACTGTGAGCCCTGGGCCCGTGCGACCAGGAAATAGGTCACTTCAAAGCGAGCGATCTTCTCGTGGATGTCCTCGACGGGGGGAGGGCGCACTCGGTGTTCAGATGCCGTGAGTCCTCCGTGACGGCCCTACTCATACGGCGCAGATCGAACTCGGGTCAGCAGTGCAAGACATGAGACGGTTGATGAACATCTTCCCGCCACCGCAGAGGGAGGATGGATGGAAAGACGAGGGGGAATAGAGGAGGAGCTGGGAGAAGCAAGGGCCGAACCCCCTCTGCCCTCCCCCTCGCCACCCCCCCCCTTCCGCATTCCTCCGTGCACTCCCCCCAGCCTCCTGTCTTCCCCAGCCCTCCAGCCTCTTCCCGGGCCGAACCCCCCCTTTCCCCCCCCCCCAGCCCTCCTGTCTTCCCCAGGACGTCGGTCTCGCCTGCTAGGTTCTGAAGTGCCCCTGGAACCAGAAGAGCCAGTTGCGACTAAATGTAAGCCCCTTTCCCCCTCGCTGCCAGGAGGCTCCCCAGGGAGGACCCCCTCGGAGGCTCCTCGACGGCTCCCCGGGGTTGTGTTGTTTCTGTGTTTCGCACTGCTCTGCGTTGCGCTGCTTCGTCTGGTGTTCGTCGTGATGTGCTGTGAAATTGATTTTCTCTGCCGTGCCTGTGCTTGCGCTGGTACGCTATGCTACGATCTGCGTTGGCATACGTGCACTGTCATGCGATGGCATCGTGCGACATACTTAACCATGAAATGAGATAGCGTATTTCTCCGTTTTATGAAATAGTATGGAACCATGTGCAAATATACAGTCTGGCATGGTACGATGTAATGTGGCATGCGATTACGTGGTGCTGAATGCAACGTCATAATGTGCAATGTGGTGTCGATGCATGACGACATTCGCAGGGCAATGGCAATGTCATGACCATGCAAGGCAATGAATTGTTATACGCGACACTGATATGGTGCCACAAGGTGGAATACGCTATGCAATGTCATGGTATGGTGCGAGAAGAAGCGCTATGCGACACCATACTAGATATGCGAATCAATGCTATGGTATGCGCATATACGCCACTACATGCTACGCAATCAACGGTGTAGAAAGGCACGCCATGCTATGCGAGGCTATGCACATCAACGACTTGCCAGAATGAGACGCAACGCAATGGGGTGTAATATGGATATGCTTGCAATGGCACGACGTTGGCCAACTTAGTCATGCTATGCAATGCCGAGTCACGATGTGTGCTGTATCATAGCATGTCCTGTCATACTCTGAAACACGATTGTAACATGTCCAATGTTTCGCACAGGTGCTTCGCCACGATGCTTGATGAGACTCCGTGAACACGACGAATTAGCATTACAATATATCATGATAAAAGTCGTAGGCGATGGTAGTGCATTAAATTGCCTTGCATTGCACATCCACGCCTTCAGCAACATATCCCCAATTGGGGTCGCGCGGAACTCGTTTTCACATAAGGCAAATTTCATCCGCGCACAGCCTTCCCCCTTCCTCTGTAGCCCTGCCCCCCTGCAGAAGTGACACACACACACATCAACTATCATTTGGTCGAGTTTGTTCGGAAACCATGACGTGGGCCAGACAAGGCCAATCGAGGCATCCTCATCGCCGCCTTGAAGACCCTGAGGGATCCCCAGTCCTCCCCAGAACCACGAGAACGACGAAATGCTAACGGAAGCGTCCGCTCACCACCCGCTCTCCTTCCCCCCCCGCAGTGGTCAAAATAATGAGGTGGAATATGGAAGGCAAAAAGCAAACCGCCTTTGTGTTGATGGTGATGGCGATGATGTGAGGCAATGAAAAAAGACACCACAAGAGACAACAAACGGAACTTTCCCGGAACTGTTCCGGAACTCTTTATGAAAAAGCACAAATCGGTTCGGCCCTCTCCCCCCGGCCCACCTCACAAGACGAGGGCGGCCGCGGAGGAGGCGAGAACGGCCCCAGCGCCGAGCAGGGCTCGAGTGAAGCCGTGTCTTTCGTTTTCACTTTGTGCTCGATCTCCTTCGTTCTGTCTCCGCCCCCCCTGTGCTGCAAAACGGCGCCAGAACGAAAACGGTCCACGAGCTCGCCAAAACACCGCTTCGCTCGGGCCCTGCCGCAGAAGAGTCGGCCAGGGGGCGGCGCGCAGGACACCCGCACCTGACGCGTGAGGCACCCAGGGGCGCAACGAGGCCCCTGCGCGCACGCGCGCGGCGCGCATCGCCAACCTCGGAGAGGCCGCCCGCACGGCCCCTGCGGGCGGCATCCATGGACCCACACGCCGGATCCACGCGGGCGGGCGGGTCCCACGCGCCGGATCCACGCACGCGTCGTCCAGAGGGCTACACGCAGGAGTGACCTTGGGCAAGGGTGACCTTTGGGGCGCGGTTTGGCGAGGGCCGCGGGGAGGCCAAAGCCGAGCGCGCCGGGCGCTGCTGCCGCATCGCGGTGAGTCATTTGGGGGGCCCAATGTGCCCGCACCAAAGGTCACTCCGGCGAAAAGTCACTCTTACGTGTAGACGATTCATGCTGGACGACGCGTCCGTGGATCTGGCGCGTGGGCGCCAGATCCACATCCAGGAGGAACGTGTTGCCAGAGGCAGGTCTGCGAGGGCTGCATTCCAAACTGGCGCGAACTTTGCTTGAGAAGGGGGATAGGGACACGGACAGCCGATGACCCGAGGTAGAGGAACAAAAACTGCATAAACATGAACTGTTGGAGGTCCGCGCGGATATCTTGGATCCGCGCTGGAGCCCCTCCCTGACGCGCGGAGCGCGCGACGGGCGGCTGGGGGGCGCCGCCAGGGAGCACAGCGATCCAGGATACCCAAGTTTATGTATATGCCGTTGGCTGTTCTTCGACGAGTGCCACATGTCTCGTCTCAGCGCAACGCCAACGCTTCAGAGTAGGTGGGTAACCTGCGGGCAAAGGCAGCGAACAAAACCGTCCATGTCGGGACGCGTCACGCCGTCACGCGGGAGCGGGACTGCAGATACGACCCAGCAGCACGATGTTTCGCAAGGTCTGCGGAGGCTGTGATGTAGCAGACCTCATGTGTCCAATTGTTGCATCTACCCGCCAGTCGGAAGTCGGTAGAAACATGAAGTAGGAAGGCGGACAAATACATTGAGTTCGGGCCCGCCCAGTCAATCACAACAACACATCAAACACATAGTGGTTTTTGTAGGAAAGCGCTTGAAACATGTTGAGATCCTGCTTCCGACGAGCGCCGTGAAATTACATATCGCGTATACCGTATGGTTGCTCAAGCAAACTCAAAGACGGCCCAAGACGGCCCCAACACGGCCCAAGAGGGCACAGGTCTGCCCAAGAGGCCCTCAAGACTTAAGACGGCCCAATCTAGCTCCAAGAGGACTTCCCAGAGCGCCTCCAGAGGCAACAAAAACAGTGGTTCCTCTAGGTTTGGAGCAGATGTTAGCGTTCCCGCCTTCTCGGGCCTCGGGCACCCCAAGACAGCCCCTGGCGCCTCCAAGATGGCTCCAAGACGGCCCAAGAAGCCCCTGAGAGGGCCCCATACCGGCCAAGCGGCCCCATACCGCTCAAGAGGACAAAAAGATGGCCCCAGAAGAACCCGAAGACTGGCCTTGGAGGCCCGAAGATGGCCCAGAGAGACCCCCCAAAGCGCCAGACGTCCCACGAGCTCCCGAAGACGGCCGAAGACGCCCCCCAAACGCCCCAACAGGCCACGAATAGGCTCCCAACAAGCATCCAAGCAGCCTCAAGACGTCCTCAGGAGGCCCCGGTAGGACTCCACAAGGCGCCCTGGAAAGCCCGAACGCACGGAGAGGAGAAGGCGTGCACGCCGCGAGGCCGGAGGAATTCACGGATCGAGAAGGCGTACCCCCCGAAACATGGGGCTGATGGATGCCGCCCGATCTGGCGACGGAGCGCGCCGACTCTGCACGGAAGCGGGATCCGTCGCGAATCCACGCGCAGTGAACCATTTCTGCGCTTCACTGAGACTCCGCCGCCCGCCCGCGCGCGCGCGCGCGGCGCGCCTCCCCCTGGGGGCCCCGCATGAGGATCCTGCACTGCGACGCGGCGCCCTCGGCGTCGGCGGCGGCGGCGGCCACGGAGGCCTCTCTTGGGAGGGCTCTGGCGGCCGGGAACGAGCGAGCGACCGACCAACGCTGCCGGCCGCGGACCCGTAGTGATGCTCTGCCTGCGTCTCCTCTGCGCGAGGCTGGCCGCAGAGTAGAGAGTGCAGCTTCGCCCGCGACCTGTGGGCAAAGGCGTCGAAACAGAAACAGGCCACCTCCTGTGGCAACGCTTGAGGGCCTCCCAGGTCATCGTGCTGGCTCTTGCGAACCGACACTCGCCGATGCTAATCGACGCAAGTCGACGCCAAAAGACACGACATCGATGCAAACTCGCAGCTTTCTCATCGATTACCAGACGCTAGCACGCGTGGAATTGCGAAGGCACACAAGGCTCTCATGAACTGCCTCCACATTTCAGCACAGGGGGTAACGAGTCCCTTTGGGAAACGGGTCCTGGACCCTGGTGCCTTCCCCAGGACGAGCTTTCCATCCCGAGTCGCTCTCTGACAGCCCAGGGGCTGTGGAGGGCTCCGAGAGCCCGAAAGCGGCGAAATAAAACTTCAAGACCCGTTTCGCTCAGGACTCGCTTCCCCCATGGCGACGAACTGGACCTGAGCGCACAGGCGCCGGAGCGGAAGCAGACCGCCAGGGCCTGACCAAGACCAGGTGGGCGAGGGCAGTTGCCGTTCCTCGGGCTTCCATTCCGCGTGCGTGCGTGCAGTTATTCGCAGGATGATCCAAGATGCTCCTCGACGGTCATTGCCGAGGAAAAGAATGCACACGTCCGAGCGATGCCAAGAGGCATGGCCGCTGAAATCTAGCCTCGGGTGAGGCCGAGGCGGCGGCCGGGGGGGGCGATGGCAGAGGGCGAGCCCGCCTCTCGGGGCGAGCGGTAAGGGAGCGGGAGGCGAGCACGAGAAGCGAAGGCTTGCCGCATCAGACGGAAGGTTTCCCCCCCTCCTCCTGCTCCTCCGCCTCCCCCTCCTCCTCCTCCTCGACCTCATCCCTCTCCTCCTCCTCCTCCTCCTCCTCCTTCTTCTCCTCCTCCTCCTCCTCCTCCTCCTCCTACTCCTCCTACTTCTCCTCCTCCTCCTCCTCCTCCGCCACCTACCCCCCTCCTCCACTTCCTCCTCCGCCTCCTCCTCGTCCTCCTCCTCCTCCTCCTCCGCCCCTTCCCCTCTCCTCTTCCTCTCCTCCTCCTCCTCCTCTTCCTCCTCCTCCTCCTCCTCCTCCGCCCTCTCCTCCTCCTCCTCCCTGCTCCCTCCTCCTCCTCGTCCTCTTCCTCCTCCTCCTCCTCCTCCTCCTCCTCCTCCTCCTCCTCCTCCTCCTCCGCCCCCTCCCCTCCTCCTCCTGCTCCTCCTCCTCCTCCTCCACCTCCTCCTCCTCCTCCTCCACCTCCTATTCCCAATCCTCCTTCTCCTCCTCCTCCTCCTTCGCTGGGAGCAATTTGGTGCATGCTCTCAAGTGGTCCCCCCCAGCACTGGCCCGGGGGTCTCCAAACGTTGCGGTGGCCATCTGGGCTTCCTGTATGGGGTCGGAGTAGACGCGGTCAGAGGATCGCGCCGCATCGTCGATGCATCACCGATGCACCGGCGACGTCGCCGATACACCAGCACCGTCGCTATGGAGGAAACTGTGCTCCACATCGAGCCGCATCGCTGATGCATCCGCGATGCGGCGCGATCCTCCGACCTCATCTGCTAGCGTCAATGCCAGCACAGCGTTTGACATTTCCTGTGGCGTCAAGCAGAGGGACGTTCTGTCAGCGCTGCTCTTCAACGATGATTTAGAGTATCCAATTCGGAAGTTCAGGGTACGCGCTCAGCAGTGCGGCTCTGATGTTGGAGGCGTCGGTGTGCTTAGCAACATGCGGTACACTGATGACATGTTACTTTATACGCGTTCCGCCGCAGAGGTTGCTCGCATGCTGCACATTCTTTCGGAAGAATTGTCAGCGTGCGGTCTCTCACTCAATGCGGACAAAACGCGGATGTTTACAAAGACGTTGCCGCTTCCAACGTTGATGAACCTCTCGTTTTGCAGCTTGCCGGCTGCCAGCTGCCTGTCATGACGTCCCAGGTGTTCCATAAGGATCTCGGGAAAAAATCGGAGGCGACTTGCGATGCAGATCAGGATGCAATGTCAATTATCGCATGGAGTGCTCATGGGGGGAATTCCACTCCCACAGAGCTGTGCTTCAAAATAAATCTATACCTTTCCGACGCTGTGGTTACGCCGTCCGCTGTATATGGTCTCTCGACAACCGCCACGACAGCACAGCATAGGTCAACGATTGCATCAACTCGTGCAAAAATGCTCCGTCAGACAGTCGTTTTCAACAAGCTTCCCGGCGAGAGCTGGGAAGAAACGGGGCGACGGTGCAAGCGAAAAATGCGTGTTGCTGTGCAACATTTCCCTGTGTCCAACTGGCTCGTCGTCATGGACCGGTCAACGTGGCGCCTCGTGGCACGACTCGCCACAAGCGATTCGCAAGCATGGCCCGCACAAGTTTTGGGCTGGCGCCCTGCCGGCCCACGACGTCGCGGTCGGCCACGGCGTCGATGGACAGAAGATCATGTAGATGCGTTTCTGCAGCACGAGTGCGGCACGAGTCTCATTCATGTTTTCCACAGCCAACATCGCTTCCCCTGGCAGTAGCTGGAGACTTCATGTCTGAACCACACATGGTGGTACATTAGATGTGCGATTTGTATTTCACCGACTTGCACCAACCAATTATCTTGCATGCGCGTTTCATTGCTGCATTGTCTCTAGCCCTCCGTCTCCGCTTGTGGAGCGAGGGGCCCCCGTAGGGCCCCTCGACCGGACTTGACTTGACTTGACTTGGTCTAGAGGCCTCCTAGATGGGGTCGGAGTAGATGTGGTCGGAGGAACGCGCCGCATCGCCGATGCATCGGCGATGAATCGGGGAGTCACCAGCGAGGCATCGACGACGTCGGCGATGCATCGGCGACGTCGACGTGAAGCAAACCGGGCTCCACATCGAGCCGCACAGGCGATGCATCTTCGATGCAGCGCGATCCTCCGACCCCATCCAGGAGGCCCAGATAGCCACCGCACCGCTTGGGGACCCCCGAGCTAGCACTTTGGGGGGAACCCACTGTGGACTTGGGCGTCGCTAAATGGGGGGGGGGCGAAAAAACAACTTTTCGGGCACTGAAGGCCTCCCTCCTTTTGGGACCTAGATGGCTCCTGTAGGGGTCTCTAAGGGGCCTCTCTTCTGCAGCCCTCGCTGCCCTTCCGTTTATCGCCCCCCCATGGCCCGACTTTGCGAGCGGGGCGCTGCCAGCGAAAGCGGCCAAGGATGCGCCTATGGGGCAAGTATGCAAGGGTAACCTTGGAAAGCTGCTCATCGTTACTATGCGGGTTGACTGTGTCGCGGTGTGGCAGGTTCGTGTCGAGACGGCGTCAGCGCTGGCGCCCGACATCGCGTTGATTATTCAGCCTCGATCGCGGCTTCCCGATCACACGGATCGCTTGATCTCGGCCGATTCTGGGCCACCGGCGGCGTTCAACCTTAAACGCCCGCCCTGAAGTTGCCGCTTCGCCGACGCGGCACGAACCCACATTCCCTGCGCTCCTGGGGCGCACCAGGACTGCGTGCACATGGGCCCAGGGCCCAGCATCGGCCTGGCCAGGATCGGCGCAGCTGGGCATATGCTAAGCGTCCTGCGACCCCGGGGAGGAAGTTCAGTAGGAGTCAGAGGAGGAGGAGGATTGTAGTGTAGGGCTGATGCTCGTCAGGGTAGGCGTAACCATTCATGTGTCGGACGGGGCACTCGGGCTCTCCCACCCTTGCAAAACGGTGCTGATGAAGGTTGGGGACCCCCAGATTATACGGAGTGGGTGGACAGCATACCTTCAAATTGCAACTGAGATGATGGTTGGTATGCGTCCGCCGCTGGACACGCTGTTTCTGCTTGCGGTTTTCCAGACCAACAAACAAGTAAGGTTTTGAGTGCGCGGGTGCCAAGGTGTTCGAGACGGTCAAGCGCCAGTCAAGGCGAGAGGCGGGCTGACCGGAAGCAAATACAGGCACGAAGCGAATGAGAAAATAAACGAGAATAGAAAGACACAAAATAGCACGGATCTCTGGCTTAAGACTTCGTTCGGCTTTGCGACCAGAAGTCCACCAAGCGTGTGACAGGTACACGGATGGAGGACGGCTCTTTTTCAAAGCGGGCCAGTCGCTGGACATGCCCTTGGTTTTTGTGACCCCACCTAGCCATCGCTCGGACGTCCATTCCCCGTGCATGCTTTGATGTCGTGCGTATTTTTGTTCCTCGATGTTACAGGATGCTCCTCGATGGTGCCCGCCGAGAAAAACAACACACGTCCGAGCGATGCCAAGCCACCTTGTCGCACTCATTCGAACGTGCGAGGATGGAGGACGGGCAACTTCATTCACAGAGGAGCTCCCACGTGAATTGTGGGCCCGTGGAGCGCCTTTCTAGGGGAAGCACCTCGCACAGTGAACAACGTGCCTGTAGGAGGGACTCGAGGGGAGGGGACTCGGAGTGGGATGGTGCACTGCAGCATCGTCAGTATTGACAAGTTGGGCGCACTCTGACCATCTTCGTACCCATTACCACCCTCATCCTCATCATCCTCAGACTCGGCGTTACTCGCATTATCATTACCCTCATCATCATCATCATCATCATCATCATCATCATCATCATCATCATCATCATCATCATCATCATCATCATCTTCGTCCTCCTCACCATCAGCAACAGTATCATTCGCAGTACCATTATCAGTATCATTATCCTCTGCATCGTCACCATCAACATCATCTTCAACCGCAGCATCACCGTCGTTACCATAAGCAAACTAATCAGCATCGTCGTCATCATCAGCATCCTCAGCATTTATATAATCATCATGGTCGCACTCATGGTCAGCAACCACAATATAATCAGCCACATCATCATCAGATTTACCATTTTTCACATCATCCTCATCCTAATCATCATAACCCTAGTTCCCAACACCACCATCCTCATCATCATCCTCGTCCTCATCTTCTTCATCATCATCACGATCGTCACCAGCAACAGTATCGGCAACATCATCGGCACCATCATCATGAAACGGTGCAGTATCATCATCAGCATCAGCATCAGCATCAGCATCAGCATCAGCATCAGCATCAGCATCAGCATCATCATCATCATCATCATCATCATCATCATCATCATCATCATCATCACCATCACACACCCTCACCATCACAATCACCATTATCATCATGAGCAGTATCATCATTCTCCTCATCATCATCACCATCAGCATCGTCGTCACCATCACCATCACCATCACTGTCACCATCTCCCCCGCCTCCCCCCCCCCAAAGCGGGCGGGCGGAGGTAGGGGGAGCCAAACCTCCTGGGCGCGCATGCTGTACGTCATCCTCAGCACCTGCACCGCGCTCTCTCTCTCTCTCTCGACCGGGGCATCGCCGCGAGCCCACGCTCCACCTCGCCCGTCCTTCACGAGGAGGACGAGGATCGAGGATCGGGAATCGACGACAAGAGCAGGAGGAGGAGGATGAGGAGGAGGACGATGAGATGAGGATGAGGATCGAGGATTCAGGATGAGGCTCGCAGACCTGGGTTTGGGGGCGCTTGTCGCTCCTCTGTAAGCGTCGGTGCATGAGCAGCGCTGACCGCCCCACCGACCCAGGCTGTGCCGCTCCTGAGCACGGGATGCCCAGGAATGTGCCCAGCGGCAGGGCCGACACCAGGGGCGTGAAAGCGTGGCCCTCTGCATGAGGGCCGATGCACGGGCTCGGCGTGGAAGGGCCAAGGGCTCTGGGGAACGAGCAGTGACACAGACACAACAACGCGGAGGTCCGCGCGGACTTCTCGGATCCACGCCTGACCCCCCTCCCTGGCGCGCGGAGCGCGGACCTCCGAGTTGATATGCTTACGTCATCGTTCGTTCCCCTCGGGGTTGCCCCGTGAGCCCCAGAGCGAGGCACCACCGTGCCGAGGGCCCCCGCCCTATGAGATGCTGCTCGGGCCCGCGGGGAGGCTCCTCGTCGGCGCGGGCTGGCTCGGCCTGGAAGCTCTGACCAGAAGGCACCTCAGGACGGGACCGGGGGTGGACGTTTCATCCCCTGGGCCCAGATCCTCTCGCGGAGATCCCCATCGTGCATCCCTAGAGGAATGAGAACCAAGTATGCACATACACCGATTCTGGCCAGGCCCATCCCGAGCCCGAACCCAGGATCGGTGCATGCGACCTCCTACCGTGGCCAGGAAAGCATGTGCACCGATCCTGGACCAAGGATGGGCCTTGCCAGGATCGGTGCATGTGCATAGCCCTCTTCGCCCGAATCTCGGCTCATAGCACGTCCTGCTGTGGGTGAGTCCGAGTGTGAGCGGTGCTTTCTGCTGCTGTTCGCCGCCTGCTGATCTGCGCCGCTCTCTGCTGTGCCATGCCGCCCTGCGCCATTCCAACAATCTGGCCGCGAACGGGCCCGTGGGGTGCCCAAATGTCGTGCCTGCTACATCGCGAGGACCATGTGGCTCTGAACAGAGTCAAATAGGTGAAGCCAAAAAAGACGTTTCGCCTGAGAGATCCCCACAATATTGCCGCGAACGGGCCCGTCAGATACCGCCTGGCGTCTACCTTCCAGAGGTGCTCAAATGATATGCCTGCTAAGTCGCGGTGATCATGGAGCTTCTGAGTATGAGTATGAGAGGCTGAGTGTGAGGGGAATCTGAGTGCGAGTAAGCCTGAGTATGGGCGAGTCTGAGTATGAATGGGTCTGACTGTGAGTGGGCCTGAGTGCTAGTGAGTCTGTGTATGACTAAGCTGAATATAAATTTCTATGGTTGTGAGCGAGTCTGGTTGTGAGCGAGTCTGAGTGTGAGTGAGTCTCAGTGTAGATGGGTCTGAGAGTAAGTAAGTCGGAGTTTGAGCGGATCTGGGTACAAGTGAGTCCTCTGTCTGATTGTGAGTGTGTCTGAGTGTCATTGAGCCCGAGTAATGACGAGTCTGAGTGAAAGTCCGTCTGAGCATGAGAGGGACTGAGTCTGGTTGAGTCCGAGTGTAAGTGAGTCTGGGAGGAGGGAGGAGGCGGGAGGGTGGGGAGAGGAGGCGTCGCACTCACGAACCCCATCCTACCCCCCGTGCAAAAAACAACTGGTGTTTTTGTACACACCTCCCCCCCCACCCCCACAATTTCAATGTTCAATGCGGTGACGATCTTTTTTTCGAACTTCGCCGGTCGCGCGATCAACATTGAAATGGGGGGCCGGGGGGGGCTCACCAAACACTAGTTGCTTTTCGCACGGGGTAGAATAGGGAGAAGAAGACGACGACGACGAGGCACGAGGAGGAACAAAAAGGATGACGACGACGCAGGAGGACGACGACGACGCCGACGAGGGGCAACCATCGCGTGCGTGAAATCATGATTGCCCGCCAATGCCCGCCTATTACCCGCCTATTACCCGGTGCATTACCCGCCTATGTGTTACCAATTACCCGCCGCATTTGTTATTATAAAGAAAAATTTAAACATTATAAATATTCTTCTTATGACAGAAAGAAGCGGGCAACATGTAACACTTAGGCGGGTAATCGACCGGGTAATAGGCGGGCAATGGCGGGCAATTATCACTTCACGTGCTCGCACGCAGTCATCGTCATCGGACTCCTCAATCCTGCCGTTCCTCGTAACCGTCCTCGGCCTCCCCCTCCTCCTCCTCGTCCTCCTCGTCCTCTTCGTCCTCCTCGTCCTCGTCCTCGACCTCCTCCTCCTCCTCCACCTCCTCCTCCCCCTAATCCTCGTCCTCCCCCTCATCGTCCACCCCGCCCATCGTAGTGCCACGCATCCTGCGCCCTTAAAAGCGACCCCCCGTGCAAAAAAAAACTGGTGTTTTTGTACACACCTCCCCCCCCACCCCCACAATTCAATGTTCAATGCGGTGACGAATTGTTTTTCGAACTTCGCCGGTCGCGCGATCAACATTGAAATGGGGGGCCGGGGGGCTCACCAAACACCAGTTGCTTTTCGCACGGGGTAGTAGGACATGGCGGGCACCATCTTGGGCGTCGCTCAATGGGTGGGGCAATACATGAGGGGGGGAGAAAGGGGCCTCAAAGGGCCCCTTTAGGGAACCTAAAGGGCCCGCCCCTTTTTCTACAGCTATCGCGGCCTCCCCATAGATCGCCCCCCCATTACGCGACGCCCAAGCATCTGGCAATTCTCAGCCTCTGATAAGGGGGCCTGCCAGGCCGCGGGGCCGTCATAAAACAATCCGGGATGAGAAGCCCGTCGCCGGGGAAGGGGTCGAGGCCTCCGGGTACGGCCCCAAAGAGCGGCAAGAGGTCGAGGGTATGCTCAAGGCCGCGCGTGGGCAGTGATCCAGCTCAAGTCGCTGTCTTGCAAACCAAGTTATACCAAGGACTGGAAGTAGCCGTTCACAGTGTCAGGGAGACATTTGCTGGTAATCGTTCGACCTGAAACCTCGAGCTTGCGTTTCCCTCCGATGTCACAAATGTTCTGGGCCAGAACAGTTTCAGATGCACCCTTAAAGGATGAGGGAGGAAACAGGATGAATGAGGGAGGGGAGATGAGAGAGGGGAATGAGAGGAGTGGAGGGGAGGAGAAAAAGGAGGGGGAGGGAAAGAGGGCAGCAGGGAGGGGGACGAGTCACTTATCTTGGTAACCGCTCCAGGCACGAAGCGAGTCATTCGCAAACGGGCCCCAGAGCCAATCGCGCAGGAATCCTCGAAACAAATCGGGAAGATTGTCAAGGCTGTCGGCTAGAACACGGGTGACAAATTACCATATTCGTGTCCTAACCACTATGTCTTTCAAATGGGTCTGGGTCCCTTTTCCCCCCCACTTCAACTGTCACACGGCATGATGGCGCGTCGCGCGTGTCTCTCTGCCACATCAAACTGCAGATGCTCGACATACATGGATCTCAACTGGGGCCCATGGCCAGAACAATTGTCACTCTACACCAGTCAACACGTTAGGCGGCTCCTCACAATTGCGAGGCGCCCGTGTGTGCGCAAGTGTGAACAGCAACGCGCTCGCTTACCTGAAGCTGCGTACACGATATCCAATCATGGCGACCTTGCACAATGCCCCAAGAGGGAATCCAAAGAACACTAAACTGTTCAATCGATTCGCGCGCGCCTTCTGTGCAACATGGACTCCGCGCCGTTCGATCGACACGTCTGCTCTGTTCGTGAGATTCGGCAACAAGCAATTCTTCCGACAGCCGTGCAACACCTGGGTCGCCGTGCCTGCGACAAATCCTGAGGAGGAAGAGAAGGAAGAGGAGGGAGGAGGACCCTGTAACTCCCTAGACCCACCCACAACTCTTTGGGTTAGCGTAGAACTCAACCGTCCTTCTCCTTCCCATCGGCGTCCTCCTCCTCCTCCTACCGCCTCCCCCCTGCCTTCCTATGCAGTGTGTGTTCAGGGAACTTGGACGCCTCTTTCTGCTTGCGTCTTCCTCCTCCCTTTTCCTCCTCCTCCCCCTGCTCTGTACCATCCTGTCGCGCGTTCTGGGCGATTTCAAGAGGCCCCCCCCCCCATGGGCCCAGGCATAACAACAATACCAGACCAATCATGTCAAGACTACTCACTACGGTTTGCCATGAGCACCCCATGGTCTCGATGGCCCGCCTCCCTGGGGGAGGGGGCTATTTTTCGCGCCAATCCCTGGGCACATCCAGACGAGGCAAGACGGCGAGGGTCTGGCGTGAAGCCCCTGACGGGCGAGCTTTGGCGGGCGGACCCGAAAGAGTGGATCAGGCGGGCGGAACCAGGTGAACAGGTTGGGCAGGCTTCCACGCAAGCCGAAGGGCGGACCCTGGCGCGGGTCGCACGGGGCATCTCGGGCGGGTCGGGCGGTCGGAACCTGACAGGGAGATCGGGAAGGGGGACCCTCACGGGCGGGCTGGGCGGGCGGACCCTACAGGGAGGGTCGGTTGGGCGGACCTGAACGGGCGGGACATGAAAGCGAGCGGACGGCGAGGAAGTCCCAGGCGAAAGCGCGATTCCTGAGTGGCGAAAGCGCACTCCCCACTCAGCTTGACAGGGATTCGCAAGCAACAGCGGAGAGCGCGGCTCCTAAACGAATGGTGAGACGCATTAATCAGGCGAGAGCGCGTTTCCTGTGACAATTGCAAGGGTTATTGACAATGACATGCCGGGACATTCGAGGAAAAAGAAACTGCATAGACCTGTCTGTTCGTCGGTTCGTACGGATTTCTTGAATCTGCGCTGGACCCCGCGCGCAGACCGCGCCAGGGGCGACGCCAGGGGGGGGGGTCCAACGCATATCCGAGGGATCCGCGCGGAGCTGTGACAACTTCTTTTTTATGCAGTGTTTCTCTTTCGAGAGATCTCAGGCGGGAATGACTGTTGTAGGAAAGCC